GGGTCTCAGGGTTGGGTTTCTTGTGGGAGGTTTCTTGTGGTCGGGACCCTACTGTAGTCGAACGTGTACTGCCCCAGCCAGTTGTTCTGAGATTCTACTTGCGAGGGTACGGGTCGTCTCGGGTCCTGTCCCAGCCCCGCCACAGGCGTTCAAGACCTGGTCGATGTTGCGCGCCTTGACGTTTCGGGGGAACTCAGGAGGGAAAGAAACACACAGACACAATTAATCCTTGACTCCCAGGAAAATATGGGAATATGGGAAGTGGGGGGAAGACAGAAACCCAGAAAATATGTGAAAATATGGGGAATCCTTTTACTTGTGTGTATTTATTTGTGTGTCCTGGGGCCCCTTCAGGAACGGCCGATCGTTCAATTTCGTGCTCGCGCTGTCAGTGCCCTGCTCTCCTCGGGCGTTGCAGCGTCGTCCGCACCTTGCTTCCGCATGTGTCCGCGCTCCGCAGCTGCCCGCATACGCCCCCCCCTGTGCTCAGTCTTGCGCTCCTGCTCCGAGGGGGAAACCAACGCCGACGTCGGTACGACGCGGGCCTGCCGTGTTCGCGGGCGGCGGCGCTCTGTTTGAGCATCTGTGTGGCAAAATGTGTCACAGTTCTTCTCCCGAATCCGCCTGTAGGAGGGCATGCCCGACCTAAGCCCAGGGATCAGACGCTGTGAGCAAGGTGCAGCACCATGACAACAGCACGTCGATGATGCTGAGGGCGCGTGTTAGCCCAAGCGTGTGTGTTGGCCCACTCGGCTCCGCCGACAGCGCACAGCCTGCGTCGGCCCTCGCTGTGCCGCCTGCGTCGTGCTGAAGGGCCTCGGCTGGCCAGCACACGTTGGCGCCAGCACGCGCTCTGAGGATCACCGAACACGACAAGAGAGCCCCAGACCCAGCCTTTCTGCTGCATATGGTTTGAGCCGTATTGATTTATGTGATGGTCCCGGGCTCCGGGATGGGGCGAACACGCTTGGCGCGAAAAGTTTGCAACGCCTAGATCCCGGAGGAGGAGGAGGAGGAGGAACAGGCTGAGGAGGAGGAACAGGAGGAGGAGGAGGGAGACGAGGAGGAGGAGGAGGAGGAGGAGGAGGAGAGGAGAAGGAGAGAACGAGTAGGAGGAGAGGACGAGGAGGAGGAGGAGGAGGAGAACAGGGAGGACGAGGAGTAGGAGGACGAGGAGGAGGAGGACGAGGAGGAGGAGGATGAAGAGGAGGATGAAGAGGAGGAGGCCTCCCGAGGACGTCCTGCGGTTGAAGGGCAAGTGCCCCCGGTGCGCGCTGTTGTCCGCGCACTGCATCTGCGAGGGCCTGTCGGGCCTGCGGCAGGGCGCCTCCGCCCCGAGCGGCGGCGCAGAGGCGCGGCACCCGGTGCGCTTCGCGCTGTGGACGCACGCCCAGGATTACCGGCCTGGAGCATACCCCTATCCCTATGCTGGGCACCTCCTCATCACGATGCCAATCTTAGGGATTCCCGTATTCTTTGAGGGCGAATCCCTAAGATTGTCATCGCCTTTTGGCGTGTCGATCTTAGGGGTAGGGATACGTTCGAGGCTGGTAACAGGAGCTGTGCCGGGCCTCCAACACCGGGAAGCTGAGGTCGGAGGAGGGCCAGGCGGGACAACAGCGGCCTTCCAGGGCTCGACCAGACGTAAGAGTGACGAGGAGGAGGAGGAGGAGGAGGAGGAGGAGGGGGAGGAGGGGGAGGAGGAGGAGGAGGAGGAGGAGGAGGAGGAGGAGGAGGAGGAGGAGGAGGAGGAGGAAGAGGAGGAGGAGGAGGAGGAGGTTTCGCCGGAGTGACCTTTGGTGCGGGCACAGATGGGTCCCCAGATGGCTGAAAACGAAGCGGGAGCAGCGGCTCGTGCGCCCAGGTTTGGTCCCCCCGCGGCCCCCCCAAAAGCCGCGCACCAAGAAGGCCACTCTTACCCAGGGTCACTCCTGCGCGTAGCCGACATGGCGTTGGTCGTCCGGTTCTCGCATCTCCCGGAGGCTCCTCGTCTGGCTTCCGCGTCGTCTCTCGCTCCTCCTCGTGCCTGGCCCCCCCCCCTCCCGTTGCGCCGCCCTGCGCTGCACGCAGGGGCCACCACGAGCATTGCGTCGGAGCTCGGCCCCCTCGTTCTCTCTCCCTCCTGTCGTTGCGAATTTCCGTACGAGGGCTGATGTTTGTGTTTTGTGCTTGATTTTGGAATGCTGGGTGTTATGTATGGTTGTTTTTGTGTGCGTTTAGCAGTTGGTGTGGCAGGCATGGTGATTTCAGGGTGAGTTCTACTAGTCAGATTGTCTCTGATGTAAATTTGGCAGTGCTGCGCCAGCCCCTCTCCAAGGCTCCCGGGCAGGCACCCTCACGGCGCCTTGCTTTAGTTCGCTGGAAGTGCCGAAGGCGTTTCCCTATTCGTCCCCAATGCGCGTACCAGAAGCTTTTCCCACAGCTCTGCCGAAGCTCCTCGGTGCCGCGGCTAGGCCCGCCTTAGAACAGCGGGCCAGGATTGGAGGGGTCCAGGACACCGATTTGACGTGGATTTTCAGGTGTTGCTAGAAAGAAGTGCCCCTGGTTCAAGGGGCCCCCAGGATTCCCTTGGAGGCCCCCACGGTCTCCAGAGCACCCCTTGCGAGGCCCGGGCGGCGACAAGGCTTCCAGACTGGAGCGCACACCTGGGGGCACCCGTTGCCAGGGGCACTTCTGGCAACACCCGAGAGGTGGGCCGGGCGAGTTTACCAGTTTGAAACATAGCCCTACCCCTATGTTTGACATCGCCTCAGCTCGATGCCGATCTTAAGGATTCCCTCAGTTTCTGAGGGCCTATCCCTGAGATTGTCCCCGCTGTTTTGCTCGCCCATCTTACAGTCGGGGCGCTGGAGAAGGAACCCTTTTCGTTGGGGAGGGGCTCAGTGTTCCTTGATTGTTTTACAGTTTGCCTTGGGTTGTCCTTAGGTTTTCCATGGGGAGTCGAAGTTGAACTTATGGAAAATAAGGGCCTCGTTCCTTATTTAGGGTTCCTTAGGTCAACGCCCCAACTGTAGGGATAGGGATACGTTCGAGGCTGGCTGCGAGCGAGCCGCCGTGGTCTCGTGGAGGCCCTCCTCCGCTGGTGCTCGGCGCGCTGCCGGAGGGCTGCTGCGAGCTCTTCCCGGGGCGCACGCGGCGGGCGGGCGGCGCCCACCGGGCCCGCCAGGGCCCTCCGATCCTCGCCTCCTCCCCCATCCCCCTCATCCTCCTCCTCCTCCTCCTCCTCCTCCTCCTCCTCCTCCTCCTCCTCCTCTTCCTCCTCCTCCTCCTCCTCCTCCTCCTCCTCCTCCTCCTCCTCGCCTCGGGCCGACCCGGGCCCAGCGGCCCCGCATGCCTCGACTAGACGTAAGAGTGACCTTTCGCCGGAGTGACCTCTGGTGCGGGCACAGGTGGGCCTCCAGATTGCCGAACGCGAAGCGGCAGCAGCGGCTAGCGCGCCTGGATTTGGCTTCCCCGCGGCCCCCCCAAAGCCGCGCACCAAAGGTCGCTCTTACCCAGGGTCACTCTTACGTGTAGCCGAGTTCCGAGCCCGTCCCGATCCGAGATGACCACCCCACGCGTGCCCAGAGATCCAGCGCACCGACAACATCGAGGCGGAGGTTTCTTGCAGTTTTCGGCCTCGAGGGGCCCCCGCCGGGCCCCGGGACCGTCAACAAAAACTTTCGGGATGAAAAACTTGTCCTGGGGAATGGGTCAGGGCTTCCGGGGACCGCGCACGGAAAAAGTCACGACATCGGACCTCTGGGTGCCGATCCAGTGCGGCCTCCGATGCGGCTCGATGCTTCGGTTTGGTGCCGCCGCTTCCTGCCCCCTCCCTCTCATAGACGCGGTCATGGATCAACTCAAACCAGGCAGTATGTTCTGTCGACAAAATAACGGGGAGAGGGGTCCAGAAGAGCTTGTTGCAGAGTTCCCGCGGCTCTGCTCATCATCGTGCACGCTTGCTCCCAGGGCAAATCTTCGGGCTATTCCGAACATCAGAAAGCCGCGCGCGTCCTGGCGCAGTGCACCCTCGCGTACAAAAAATATACAGACCCGTACCCCGCCGCATGCCACGCGCGCGGCGTTCGCGCCGACGCAGTCTCTGAGAGGCTGACCCGCTGCCTCCGTGCGCCCGCCTCCTCCTTCACTCTCCTTCGCCCTCCTCCAGAAGAGAGGGGGATGGGGAGGGGAGGGTGGGACGTGGAGGGAGGAGGGGGGCGGGGAGGGGAATAACGAAGAGGAGGAGGAGGAGGAGGAGGAGGAAGAGGAGGAACATTTGGGGAGGAGGAGCAGGAGGAGGATCAGGAGGAGGAGGAGGAAGATGCTAAACGATAGCGAGCAGGAGTGGGGATGAGGGAGAGAGAGTAGGGTCAGATGCGGAAGCAGGCGGGAGCAGGATGAAGTGGATGAGTCGGCGGGAGGAGCAGGGCCATGAGGAGAGTAGGGAGCAGGGGGGAGGAGGGGGGGGGAGGAGGATGCGTAGGAGGCGGCGGGGTTCCAGTCCGCATCCTCGGGGGCCATCGGGCCACTGGGCATGTAAGTCCAGTGGGCACATGTGCTCAGGGGGCCCGTTGGCCGCGGGGAACTAGGCGCGCGGGCTCGCTTGCCCGATCGCCACATTTGGGCCCTGCCCAGTTTGAGCCAATCTAGGTTAGCCATGCCCAATGCGCACCGCCCGCCAAAGTCCGCTTCCATCGAGTCTGGTCCAGTCCGGCGGGCCTCTACTGGCCGAGCCTAAACAATGCCATTTTCTCGTGGCATCATCTTCGAAGGCGCACTGTTCTGTTCCGCCAGCGCATATGCGGGGCCGGCGTTGAAGAAAATTCGCCGGCGTCTTTGCTGAGGCATCCCTTTGTTTTGCTTCCGACCGCGCAGTGACCGGTTAGTGTCTGTCTGGCTTGTTCTTTCAGTTTACGGCAGGGAGTGCGTTTTCGAGAGGGGCTCGCCGACACAAACCAGCAAATACGTATGTTTTTGTGCTTTTCCGGTGGCTTCCGACGCGCCGTACGGGTCCACGCATGGCGCCGTACGGCGCCGTGCGAAGCCTTTCGCGCACTGCGCGCTTCCACGCAGGAGCCCCCAGAACGCGCGGCGCGGCGCCGAGCGGCGCCCTTCGCGCTCATGTGTGCGTTTTTCTTCGCGGGCCCCTTGGGGAGGCTGCCGCGAGGCGTGGCGCGGCGCCCTCGGCGCATGGTGTCCTTCACGCGGGAGCCCCCCGAGGGCGCCAGATGGCGCTGCGCGGCGCCCCCTGCGCGCAGAGTAAATGCGCTTTCGCGCATGAGCCCCCAGACGGCACGATGCGGCGTCGCACGGTCCCCATCGCGCATGGCGTTGCCCGTGCAGGAGCCCCAGGAGGCGCCACGCGGTGCCGCGCGGCGCCTCTCGCAGACTGTGTCTGCCGCGCGGCGCTGCGCGGCGCCCCTCCCGCGTTGCATGTTTTTTGTTCGCGCTGCTCAGAGCGCGCGCGGGCGCGCGCGCGCCTGCCGCGGGTGGCCCGCGTCGCCCGCCGGCCCCGCTGCCCCCCTTTCCCCCTACCTTTCACATGCTGCATGTGCGGCGCAACTTCCATTGTTCACGTTCGCTTCTTACGGGGCGTGAAAACGACCACAGCCACTGCTTTTCTTTTGTTGCCGCCTTCCAGCCCGCAGAAACAAAGCAGTGGCTGTGGTCATTTTCGTTGAGCTTGGCACCAGGGAACTGACCACAGCCACTGCTTCTTTTTCGGCCGTCTGGAAGGCGGCGCAAACAAGAAGCAGTGGTTGTGGTCATTTTCCCGCCCCGCGCTTCTAGTCGTGTGAAATATCCGCGCGAGACCCAGCGGCGCAATTCCACTACGGGTAGCGGCGCTGTTCGCGCTGACGGCACGCATCACGTGGATTCGGTTTGCGCGTCGCGGCGGTATCCGTTGCAGAGTTCTCGATGGTGCGAGCGCGCTGGAAGCAGCCCCTGCACGGCTACTTCGTTCAACTGGCAGGGTGGTGCGAAACCAAAATACATGTAAAAACGTTCGCGGAACACTGTGCGCAATCGTTGTTTTTATGTCTTGGTGGTGCCACTTAGCACGATTCCGCTGGAATTGCTGCCCAGTCTGTGCTGCCTGGCGTGCGCGTGCCAGACCCTCCGCCGACCTGGGCTCGGGAGCCATACAGTGGGGGCCCATGCCAAGAAGCACCCAGCCTGCCTCCAGGGTGCCCTGGGTTGCTTGGGTTTCGATGGCTTCGCTACGGAAAGCGCGACTCTCCCACGCCAGAAATCCACGGACGTCCTGGGTTCTCAGGGCTGGGTTTCTCGTGGAAGGTTTTTCTCGTGGAGGGCGTCTTGTGGACTGGCCTCCGCCGCACGCTGTGCTGGCCGGGCGGGGACCGCCACGCGGCCCTGGCGGACCCGGGCCGGCGTGGGCCATCGGCCCCGTGGGACCCCGGCGCGTCGTCCACGGCATGCCCGGGGAGGCCGAGCGCCTGCATGGGGCGCTGGAGGCTCGGGGGCGGAAAAGAGGGGGGCGATGACTATAGGGAGGGGGGGGGAGATCATGGCGGGGGCCATGATCTTTTCCCCAGATCTCATGACGCCTCCTCTTATTTCCTTACGTCCCTGGCCCCTCCGCGGGGCCGCGCACGTGCCGCCGGTCATGATTTGCACCCCCCCCTCTTGGACACCCCCCTCCTCTTGGACCCCCCCCCCTCCTCTTGGACACCCCCCTCCTCTTGGACCCCCCCCCTCCTCCTGGACCCCTCGTGGGCACCCCCTCCTCTTGGACACCCCCCTCTTGGCCGCTCCCGAGAGGCGGCCGGCGGGCGCGCCTACGTGCTGTACCCGTCGCCCGAGGCGGCGCCCGTCGCGGAGGCCCTCGCGCCCGCGCCGCGGGAGGGCCTCGCGGAGGGGCCCTCGCCGCCCGCGCTCGTGGTGCTCATCGACGGCACCTGGCACCAGGCCAAGCGCATGAGGAAGGCGCGGGGGGCCAACTCTTTAACGGGCGAAGAACGGTATGAAATAAACTCTTTCGCCGTCGGGGACACTTGTCCCAGGGCGGCTGGAAAGTTCATACCCCTACGGTGCCACTGTAAGGGTTACGAAATTTGCTGCATGCAGCTGGTTTCGGCCTCACCGAGGGGCCCACTCCTCGATGCATGGCCGCCTCTGGCGCTGGGAGGCGCCGGGAAAGTCAGCTACATGAGCTGATTCTCCCCCCCCCCCCCCTTTGCTATCCCCCCTTTCGCCCGACCCGATCGTCGTGCTCATCGACGGCACCTGGCACCAGGCCAAGCGCATGAGGAAGTCGCCAGGGGGCCAACTCTGGGCCCCAGGACGGCGCTCATGACCACTTTGGAACATATCCCTATCCCTATGTTTGACATCACCGCACCTCGAGGCCGATCGTAAGGAGTCCCTCCGTTTCCGAGGGCCCATCCCTGAGACTGTCCTCGCTTCTTGCTCGCCCATCGTAGGGATAGGGATACCTTCGAGGCTGGTTAGCTCAGGCCCTCCTGGCCTCGGCCACGAGGGCGTGTGCACGGACGAGGTCGGAGCGGGTGGGGTCGGAGGATCGCGCCGCGTCGCCGATGCATCGGCGATGCGGTTCGATGTGCAGCGCGAGCTCTCCACGCCGACGTGGCCGATGCATCGCCGATGCCGCCGATGCATCGGCGAGGCATTGGCGATGCGGCGTCAGCCCCCGACCCCATGGACTCGGACCCCATCAAGGAGGCCCCTGATAGCCCTACAGGCCCTATCCCAATGATGGGTGGCATCACCTCATCTCGATGCCGGCCTTGCGGATCCCCTCCGTGTCCGATGGCTCGTCTCCCCAAGACTGTCACCGCCTTTGGGCTCGTCGATCTGTGGGATAGGGACCAGCTCGAGGCTAGCTGGGGCGTGCACTGCATGTGACGGGGATCCCTGAGATCCGACGCTGCGGCCAAAAGCTCAACACCGCGAACACATCACTACCAGAGCGCCAGGCCTGGTCTTGCGGCGGCATGCCTCGAGCTGGGTCGATCCGTGAGGGTGCCGCGGGACCCGGCGCTGGGCGGAGGCGCCTGGTGGGAAGATGCTGCGTCGCCCAGATCTCAGGGCTGGCCCTGGCCAGGCATGGCGCTGGTGGTGGCGGTCTACAGTGGGGCGACAACGCTTGGTGGGAATCAGAGGAGGAAGAGGTGCCCATACCTCTACCCTTCCCCCGTGCTCCTATGTTTGGGCCTCCCGGGCCTCCGTCGTCGCCACCGCTGGATTCGCCTCCAAATCCTGGTCAGAGCGTTCCCCGGGGGAGGTCCGGGGAGTGGCGGTGTCGGTACCGTTTGGTGCCCCCCAGGGGAAATGCTGCAGCGCCCATACCTCAGGGCTGGCCCTGGCTGGGCATGGCGGTGGTGGTGGTGGTCTGCAGTCGGGCCGAGGTGGTCCAGGTCGGGGTCGGTTCGGGGAGGGTCTCCTAGTGTGTGTCGGGTCTGTTGGACGTTCTTGTGCCTGGGGGGGGGGGGCCTTGGATGTCCTGTCTGTGTTTACCAGCCTGGAACATATCCCTATCCCTATGCTGGGCATCTCCTCATCACGATGCCAATCTTAGGGATTCCCTTTTTTTGAGGGCGAATCCCTAAGATTGTCATCGCCTTTTGGCGTGTCGATCTTAGGGATAGGGATACGTTCGAGGCTGGTAATGTGTGTGTGTGTGAGTGTGTGTGTGTGTGGCAGGCGGAGGGTCTCATGCTCCTGCAGGATGCTCCTGTGTCGTGGATCCGACCGTAGGAGTGGGCGACGACGCATGGCGGGTTCCTTCGTGAGGGCACGCGCGCTCCAGCCGTGCCCCAGGCCAGGTCGCGCGGGAGTACCCTCTCGTCTTTCCAATTGCAGCGTGCCGTGCTGGTGGGCCCTTGGAAGCCGTGGCGTAAGCCGCTCCCAGGCGCCACCAGGCGCTCCCAGGCGCTCCCAGGCGCTCCCAGGCGATCACAGGCGATCCCAGGCGCTCCCAGGCGCTCCCAGGTGCTCCCAGGTCGCTACAGCCCAGGGTACCTTCCCGAGGGTACTTGCCCTTGCCTCCGTGCCTCATCGGCCCCTTCTTGGCCCCTCTCGCCGGCCGCGCTCCGCGTGCGGCCTTCCTGCGCGTCCTCCTGATGTCGGGCCGACTGTGTGTCATCTCGCGCAGGACCCCGTGTCCGTTCGTCGCTCCATGTACGCTTAAGTCGGGCGTGTCCCCCTACAGGGGGATCGACGACGAAAAATAGAAAATGCTCCAAAAATATGCCAAACATTTTAAACACAAATCCTTAAATCATAGTCCCCAGACCATTTTGGGACTATTGTTTGATTATGTTGAGGGTATTGTTCATTTTTCGTCGAGAAGCCCCCTCTAGGGGGACAGGCCCGACTTGAGCGTAGGACCCCCCCCCCTTTCCGCTCGTCGCTCCGTGCACGCCTCGTCTGTGCGTCCAGGCGCTGGAGGGGCTGCCCCACGTGGCCCCCTACAGAGGGATTGTCGACGGAAGATAGAACATATTTTAAACAATACCCCAAAAAGGTCACAAGATGCTCAACAAATAGTCACCAGACTATGTTTGGATGATTTTTGTTCCGTATTTTGGGGGTATTTTTGATTCTTCGTCGAAAATCCTCGTCTGCGCGTCCGAGGCGCTGGAGGGGCTGCCCCACGTGGCCCTGGGCGGCGGCACCCTCGCCTCGCGCTTCGGCTGGCGGCGGCAGTCCGAGGCCCACCGCGTGACCACGGCGGAGGCCGCCGCCGCGCTGCTGGAGGAGCTGCACGGCGGCCCCGGCGGCGCCGCGCGGCACGGCGGCTCCGACCCCCAGGCGCCCTTCGCCGGAGCGGGTCCTCCTCCACTCGGCGTCACCCCAACACACGTATTCTACAAGTTCGAAGTTGTTTTCGGGGACCTTCCTGGAGCCCACCTAACGGATCTGTTCGACCCCAGTTCGACTCAAGTTCGACTCAAGTTCGACGCAGGTTCGACTCAGGTTCGACTCAGGTTCGACTCAGGGTCGACCCAAATCGACTGACGTTCGACGCAGCTTCGACGCACGAGTGGAGCGAGTGGCTCCAGGACGCTCCCCAGAACGAGCATCCAAGGTCCTCGTCCACTCGGCGTCGCCCCGACATGCGTATTCTATGTAAGTGCGTCGGCCCCCCAGGGTCGACGCGCGCACCGAGGACTCTCATGAGTACAGTAGGGGTCTTGAAGAAGGAACCCTTTTCGTTGGGGAGGGGCTCCGTGTTCCTTGATTTATTCACAGTTTGCCTCAGGTTTTCCCAAGGTTTTCGATGGGAAATCGAAGTTCAACTTATCATAAAAGGGGACTCGTTCCTTATTTAGGTTTCATTAGGTCAACGCCCCGACTGTACATGCGTCGTGGCGAGCGCCTTCTGGCCACACCGCTCGGGATGCGATCTACTACCGCGCCTCCACGGAGGACATATGGTACTGGTATGCCTTTGTGTGTCCCATGCGCCGTTTAGGAGTGTTCGACACGAGGCGGCTCGATGCCTGCTTGGCGCCTCTGGTTCGGTTCGATTCCAATTCCGAGCCGATGCTGATTGTTCTTGACTCCGGGAGCGGTGGATGTGGACGTCTGCCCCTGGATGTCCATGCTGTCCACCGCTCCCCACAAGGCCCCCATGGCACGCCCCCTCGGCAGTGGGTATGTGGACGCGTTCTGGCGGCCCCGAGGTGCTGCGCTGGGCCGAGGCGCTGCGGACGGCCGTGGCGATGCTCGACGAGGCGCTGAGGATCGGCGGCGCTCAGACGGGGGGGTGGTCGGCACCACCCAAAGAGACTTGTACTATTGTGATCGCTTTCGCATTCACTGTTTTGCCGATGGGCGCGGGACCTCGCACCCGCCCCCCCCCCCCACGGAGTAGATCTTGGCTGTGTCTGGCGCCTGTTTCAAGCAGGGGGAGTCTCCCCCCACAGGACTTGGCATCGCTCGGACGTGTGCATTTCTCCTTCGGCGAGGACCATCGAGGAGCATCCTTGACCATTTGGCGAAAAAACCACGCACGAAACCGAAAAAAGCACAGGGAATGGACGTCCGAGCGATGGCGAGAGGACGCTCTGCTGCAAACAGTGGCATGAAGCAGAGGTCCGGAGCCAGACCCCCCCTCCCACCCCCCCTGTCGGGTGTTGCTGGGAGTGCCACTGGCCCAAGGTGCCCCCAGGATTCTCAGGGCGGCCCCCGCAGCCTCCAGCGCACCTCTTGCGAGGCTCAGGCGGCGCCAAGGCTTCCAAAACGGAGCGCAAGGCTGGCTGGGGGCGCCCTTTGCCAGGGGTACTTTAGCAGCTCAGGAGGGGAAAAAGCACACAGACACAAGTAATCGTCGCCTCCCCGGAAAATATCAGAAAAAATATGGGAATTGGGGGAAAGACCAAAACCCTGAAAATAAAGGGAAACATGGGGAATCCTGTTATTTGAGTGTGTATATTTATGTTGTGTGCCCTGGGGCCCCTTCATACATTGCGTGCGCGTAATTTCTCGGACCCACGCGGATTTCGCGGATCGGCGCCGGTCCCCCCGGGCGGCGCCTCTGGCCCGGCCTCTGGCGCGCTGCGCGCACCGAGGAGAGGAGTTCGGCGACGATCAGAGTGACTCGCGCGGACCTCGGAAAATCACGTGGGTGCCGTTTCTCCCCCATGTGCTTGGGGGGTTCGCCGAAGCCCCTCTTCAGCAGCACCCGGCCCTCTCCGCCCACTGCCGCGAAGCCCTCCTGAGAGGGCGTTGCCCCTCCGTGCGCGCCTGCCTCGCAGTGGGGCGACGCGCGAGCTCTCAGAGAAACTTCGGGTGCGGGCTCCGTGGCGGGCGCCGCCGGGCCCTGCTCCTCTCGGGAGGGAAGAAACACAGAGAGAGAGAGAGAAAATATGGGGAAAGATGGAGCATCCAGTTGTTTGTGTGTAGTTGTTTGTGTGTCCCAGGGCCCCTCTTCGGCCGCACCCGACCCTTTCCGCCCAATGTCGCGAAGCCCTCCTAAGAAGGCGCCCTGCTCCTCTCGGGAGGGGAAGAAACAAACACACACACACACATGCACAACTCATCATCGATTCCCAGGGAAATGTGGAAAGCTACTCTGCACGAGCGAAATGGGCACGGAAAGAATGGGCACAGTGCCCAACAGCGGATCTTGTTCATCTTGAACAGGACTCGCTGTCCACGCCGCCGCGGCCTGTGTCAATTCGAGACAGAAGGCCGCCTGCCCAACGGCGGCCGCTGCTGGTTTGGGACAACATTTGTTGTTGGGCACTGTGCCCATTCTTTCCGTGCCCATTTCGGGCGTCCAAACAGACATAATTCATCGTCGATTCCCAGGGACATGTGGAAAACTATGGGATGTGGGGGGGAAGGCAACAACCCAGAAGATCTTGGAAATCATGGGGATTCCTGTTATTGGTGTGTAGTTATTTGTGTGTCCCAGGGCGCCTTCATTCTCGGGAAACGATCTACTACGAGATGCCCATGCCATGCGCTCGTATCGGACGTGCGCCTCCAACATAAGCACGCAGTATCAGTGCAGGGCTCGTTTCGATCCCTCCGATTCGATTCGATTCGAAGTCGGTCGATTCCAGCCCCGATTCGATGCGGTTTAGGACTTCGATTCGGGCTTCGGTTTCTCAACGGAGGCCTGCTGGCCTGCTGATTTCTGCCAGTTCTATTTTTCCCGACCCGGCTGCCGATTCCCGCCGATCCGGTTCATCTCGATCGCCGATCTGATTTGTCGATTCGATGCTTGGCTCGCCTGCCAGTGTATTCGTTCTGCGTCCCAGGTGGTCCCCAGGCCGTGTGTCAGCCCAAGTGGTAAGTCGGGTAAGCCCCTCTGCAGGAGGAATATCCGAAGATAGTCAACGAATAGTCTGGGCACTATGTTTCGACCATGCTTTGACTATGCTTGAGCATGCTTTGACTACTTGCTACTTCTCACCCAAAATCCGCCTGTGGGGGTACACGCCCGACAGAACCCGAGTGCTCGCTTGCCCGGTCGGTGCCGCCGACAGCGCGCAGCGCGCAGCCTGCGTCGGCCCTCCGCTGCGCCGCCCGCGTCGTGTGGAAGGGCCTGGGCGGACGAGCACACGCGGGCGCGAACCCTTCGGTGGGGCGGCGGTCCTCCGGCCGGGTGCCGGCCCAGGTGCTCGCTTGCCCTCTTCGGTCCCGACACAGCGCGCAGCCCGCGTCGGCCCTCACGGCGCGCCGACCACGCCGTGCTGGGAAGGGCCTCGGCGGGCAGGCATACGGCGGCGGCGTGTTTCAAGGCGGGCGCGTCGCTGCACAGGAGGAGTATTCAAGCATAGTCAAGAACTGCTCAGGGGACGATTTGTCCCCAATCAGAGCTTGCCTCCGTAGGAGTCCCAGCGGACGCATATGGTCAGTCGTGGTTTGCTACCGATTTCCGCGGCCCGCTTGGGTGCCCGGGTGCCCGGGTGTGTGCCCGGGTGCTTCATAGCCCTATAGCCATGTATTTTGTTATAGCCCTATCGCCCTAGAGTCCTATAGCCCCAAAACCCTATAGCCCTACAGACCTATAGCCGCCCTGTGGCTGTATAGCCTTATCGCCCCCCAGCCCTGTAGCACCATCGCCCTATAGCCCAATAGTCCCATAGCCCTATAGCCATAAAAAGACTTTGATGGGATGATCCTCCGGGATCATTCGAGTCTGTTCTGATTGTTTGGAATGTTTGTTGTCTGTTTTTGGTTTTTCACCCAAGATCTGCCTATAGGGGGACATGCCCAGTCTAACGCCAACGCATATGACGAGGATCATCGGGTGGGGCGAGGGGGGGGGCATGAGCGAAGAGCAGACGTACAGTCGGGGCCCTGAAGAAGGAACCCTTTCGTTGGGGAGGGGCTCGGTGTTCCTTGAATGTTTCGCAGCTTGCCTCGGGTTTTCCTGAGGTCTTCCATGGGAAATCGAAGTTTAACTTATGGAAAATCGGGGCCTCGTTCCTTATTTAGGGTTCCTTAGGTCAACGCCCCGACTTCAAAGCGCACGTTCCGTTTCGCTGGTTTCGCGATGAGGCATCGTGCGGGCGGTCGTGACACGCGAGACTGGCCTCGCGGACCCGGAGGGCCCGGTTTCACGCACGGGTGGGCGCGCACGTCTTGCGTGGGCTCTCTAGGGTGGGGCTTCTTCGGAAGGCAGGAGGCAGGGGGGACGAGGAGGTATGGCGAAAGGACGAATCGGAAAAAGGGGGGGAGAGAGGAGGAGGAGAGGAGGAGGAGGGGAGGAGGAGGAGGAGGAGAGGAGAGGAAGAGGAGATGAAGGAGGAGAGGAAGGGGAGGAGGAGGAGGAGGAGGAGGAGAGGAGGAGGAGGAGGAGGAGGAGAGGAGGAGTAGGAGGGATGAGGGGAGGAGAGGAGAGGAGGAGGGGGGAGGAGGAGGAGGAGGAGGAGGGAGGAGGAGGAGGAGGAGGAGGAGGAGGAGGAGGGGAGAGGAGGAGAGGAGAGGAGGAGGAGGAGGAGAGGAGGAGAGGAGGGGGGAGGAGGAGGGGGAGAGGAGGGGAGGAGGAGGAGGAGGAGGAGGAGGAGGAGGAGGAGGAGGGGGAGGAAGAGAGGCGGAGGAGGAGAGGAGGAGGAGGAGGAGGAGGAGAGAGAGAGGAAGAGAAGGGAGGAGGAGGCGAGGAGGAGGAGAGTAGGAGGAATGAGGATGGAGGAATGGGAGGAATGGAGGAATGGAGGAATGGAGGAATGGAGGAATGGAGGAGTGGGGAGGATGGGAGGGGGAGGGGGAGGAGGAGAGGAGGAGGAGGAAGTAGGAGGAGGAGGAGGAGGAGAGGAAGAGGAGGAGAGGAGGCGGAGGAGGAGGAGGAGGAGGAGGAGGAGGAGGAGGAGAGGAGGAGGAGAGGAGGAGAGCAGGAGGAGGAGGAGGAGGAGAGGAGGAGGAGGAGAGGAGGAGGAGGAGGGAGGATGAGGGAGGAGGGAGGAGGGAGGAGGGAGGGGGAGGAGGAGGAGGGAGGAGGAGGAGGAGGAGGGAAGGAGGGAGGCGGGAGAGGGAGGAGGGGAGAGAAGGAGGAGAGAGGAGGAGAGAGGAGTAGGATGCGGAGAGGAGGAGAGGAGGAGGAGGATGTAAGAGAGAGACACAAGGAGGCAGTTGGCGAGAGGAGGAGGAGGGGAGGAGGAGGAGGAGGGAGGGGAGGGGGAGGGGGAGGGGTCCAAGGAGGGGCCGGGCCGTCGTCCGAGGAGCCTCCTCGAGAGGCGGGCGGGGGGTTCTGGGGCAGGCCGCCCCCCTGGCACGCGCGAGCGGCGCGGCCGCTGCCCCGCGCCCCTCTGGAGGGGGCCTCCGAGGTCATCCGAAGGGCCTGTGTCCAGGCAGGCCTGGGAGCCGAATTTTGGTTTTCCACTTCCCAGGTAATTGATTGTGTAGTTGTGAAGGGTTAGTCGGTGTATATATATATATATATATCATGCCGAAGGCATTTGAATAACCCATCGGAATCGAAAAAGAGACCCCCCGCGCGACGTGGCAAAATCGTGACGGCAGGCTTTCAGGCCCTCGGGCCGTCAGAGAGCCGGCTCGGCATGAAACTTTGGTGCCGAGAGTGGGTCGAGACCTCTGCACAGTGCGACCAAAATCACGACGTCGGGGGGCTGGGGATGAGGGGTATGTCGCTCCAGAGCATTCTGGAACGCTCTGAGAGCGTCGGCCCCGAGCAACTCTGAACCTTCTCGGAGCTGTTCCTCGAGCCCCGAGCCTGCCGCCCCCCCACAGAGACCCAGCCCCGGCGAGCTCTCCCGAGCCGCGTCCAGCCGTGGCGACGAGCGCCCTGCAAGAAATACCACCGACAACATGTCGAACACGGCGGCCTCGGCCTCGACCTCCACCCAGAGATCCGAGGTATTGCCGGAGTTGGACAGACCTCCTGCCCTGACACGTCGATTAGCGAATTGGCCGTTTTCGGTTCGCGAGAGGGCGTCGCGGCCGTCTTTTTGAGGGCCCAGGTCCGTCGGTTTCGGTCCCAGGCCGTTTTCACTACAGGGAGGTTTACTAAGGGAGGTGTATCCACCGCCGATATTGCGGTTGTCAATCTGCGGGGGCGCCGGAAGTGCACCGCCCTCCCGAAGGTCCGGTTGTTCATCTTGGGCCGGCTTCCAACGGTCCCAGGGCCCGGTGGCGGCCCTGGGCGGCGAGCGGCGAAGAACCTCTTCGCTTGGCGTCTCAGCGCGTTGGAGGTCAGGGGCCCCTTCCCCAAACTCCCGACGTCATGATTTTGTTCCAAACGTCCTTCCCCGTGGCCCGGATGGGGGGGGGGAGGATGGGGGGAGGGGTGGGGGGTAGAGGAGGAGGAGGAGGAGAGCAAGTTCGTCGAGAGTTGATTCGGCTCCTCGGCCACGCCAGCTTAAAGTTTTTGTTGGCCCGTTATCAGGCTCGCCTCGAGCGGACGGGAGCACGCTTGGATGGTTCCTTGCGTGGAAGCCTGGAGCGAAGCAGCTATGCGTGAACAACAACTCCCGACGTCACGATGTTGTTCCCAACGTCCTTCCACGAGGCCCGTCGTTTCCATCCAGAGTTGACCAGCCTGGAACATATCCCTATCCCTATGTTGGGCATCTCCTCATCACGATGCCAATCCCAGGGTTTCCCTTATTTTTTGAGGGCGCATCCCTAAGATTGTCATCGCTTCTTGGCGTGCCTCAGAGAATGGCACGCCAAGAAGCCACAGGGCGGCTATAGGTCTGTAGGGCTATAGAAGCCACAGGGCGGCTATAGGGATAAGTTCGAGGCCGGTAAAGAGTCGGCTTTCCTTGGCGGTGTTTTTGGTCGAGTCGAGACCTCGTGGCGGCGCGTGGGGGGGGGCCGGCGCCCTGCGGCGCCCGCCGGGCCGAGGAGCCAGTCGCACTACAGCAAGGACTTCCTGGAGCCCCGGGAGCCCTGGCAGGAGCGTTTGCCAGCCTGGAGCATTCGGGGGTGGACAGACATCCTACCCTGACACGTCGATTAAGGAATCGGCCGTTTTCGGTTCGCGAGAGGGCGTCGCGGCCGTCATTTTTGCGGGTCCAGGTCCGTCGGTTTCGGTCCCAGGCCATTTTCACTAAAGGGAGGTTTACTAAAGGGGGATTTGTCCACCCCCGAAGCATACACCTACACTTGGCTCGTTTCGATGCCTCCGGTTCGATTCGATTCGATGGTGGTCGATTCCGGTTCCGATTCGATGCGGTTTGGGAGTCCGATTCGGGCTCCGATGTCTCAACGGAGGCCTACTAGACTGCCGATTTCTGCCGACTCGGCTGCCGGTTTCCGCCGATCCGATTCAGTTCCATTGCGGGTCCGACTTATCAATTCGATGTTGGGCTCTCCTGCCTACAGGCCCAATCCCCATGATGGGTGGCATCACCTCATCTCGATGCCGACCTTACGGGTTCCCTCCGTTTGGCTCATCTCCAAGACTGTCATCGCCTTGCGGCTCGTGAATCTTGGGGATAGGGATCAGCTCGAGGCTAGCTCGGATCTGGGGCAACGAGACAGGGGGATAGGCATGGGGGGAGCTGCATCGACCCCCGATCGCCCATGCATCGCGGAGGGGGGCCCGAGGGCCCCAGCCTGCCCCAGGAAGGCGCGGCTCCGCCATCGGGGGCCCTTGGCCGATCTCTCGGCGTTGCTCCGCCGCCGAGGCCAGGTCGACGTCCCCTCCCCGAGGCCCCTCCCCGAGGCCCATCCGCTTGCCATCGCTCGGACGTGTGCATTTTTCCTGCAGCGAGAACCCTCGAGGAGCATCCCTTGGTCATTTGGCGAACAAGCCACGCACGAGATCGAACAAAAACAGGGAATAGACGTCCGAGCGATGGCCAGATCCCCCCCGTCGCTGCCCCTCGCATCGCTCGTTCCCTCCCCGAGGCCCATCCGCCCCCCCCCGTCTGCGGGACGGAGAAAGGACCACAACCACTGCTTTGCTTCTGCTGGCTGGAAGGCGGCAACAAAAGATGAGCAGTGGTTGTGGTCATTTTCCCGTCCCGTACCGTCGCTGCCCCTCGACGCTCTAGGGATGCGCAGAGGGCTCCGCCCCTGGCCCGGCCCCCAGGAGCGGCAGCTCGCCCACATGCTGGCGCGGCAGCCCGGCGGGGCCGCGGGGCGCCCGGAGGGCTGAGCGGGCGAGGGCCGCGCGCCGAGGCCGCTGCGCCGCGGGGCGTGAAAAGGGCCACGGCCACGGCTTTTCGTTTGTTGCCGCCGTCCAGCCAGCAGAAACAAAGCAGTGGTTGTGGCAGCTTGAGCCCTTAGGATTCACGAAGGTTTCGCACATAGCACCGGCCGGGAGACATGAAACCCGACGTATTATCGCATGTCCTACCGCGTTGACCGCTCCTACTAATGTTGCTTTCCTAGAGGCTCCAACTCCTAGGTAGGGTCGCACTGGGATAATTTTCTTTAAGCCGTCCAGCCAGCAAAAACAAAGCAGCGGTTGTGTCGGAGGTGGACAGACCTCCTACCCTGACACGTAGATTAAGGAATTGGCCGTTTTAGGTTCACAAGAGGGCGTCGCGGCCGTCATTTTTGCGGGTCCAGGTCCGTCGGTTTCGGTCCCAGGCCGTTGTCACTAAGGGGAGGTTTACTAAAGGGAGGTTTGTCCACCGCCGATTGTGGTCATTTTCGTTAAGTTTGGTACCGGGGAAATGACCACAGCCACTGCTTCTGTTTCGGCCGGCTGGAAGGCGGCGCAAACAAGAAGCAGTGGTTGTGGTCATTTTCCCGTCCCGCGGCGGCGGCTCGGCCCCTTCGGGGGAGGGGAGGGCCGTGGCGACAACATCGCCGAGCGGATCTCGCTCGGGAGACGACGGGTCGGGCCGGGGGTGTCCTGGAGAAGGTCGCCCCGGAGTGCGAGGTGAGTGTCGTGTGGAGTTCCTGGTAAGGGCCAGGAGCGAAGACCGAGCAGAATCCACGCGCAGTTCGCTCCGTGCTTCGTTCGCCGCTTCGGGCAAACATCCACGCAGAAATTCAGGCAGAAATTCGCTGCAGCACTACTTTCAGGAAGAAAAAAACAAACAGACACAATTAATCGTCGATTCCCCGGAAAATATAGAGAAAATATTGGAAGTGGGGGGGAAGACAAACACACAGAAAATATGAGAAAAATATAGGGAATCCTGTTATTTGTGTGTACTTATTTGTGTGTCCTGGGGCCCCTTCACACATTGCGTACATGTAATTTCTCGGACCCGCGCGGATTTCGCGGATCGGCGCCGGTCCCCCCGGGCGGCGCCTTTGGCCCCGCCTCTGGCGCGCTGCGCGCACCGAGGAGAGGAGTTCGCGACGATTAGTTTTTGAGGGCGCATCCCTAAGATTGACACGCCAAGAGGCGATGACAATCTTAGGGATGCGCCCTCAAAAACTAATTAAGGGAATCCCTAAGATTGGCATCGTGATGAGGCGATGCCAAGCTTGGGGATAGGGATATGTTCCAGGCTGGTAAATCAGGACGACCGAAACTCTGAACGGAGAATGCGGGGACGCGCGATATCGACTGCAATGCCTCGAGGGGAGGAGAGGCACGTGCCGCTGCCCCCGTGCCCTGCCGCCTCGGAGTCCTGGGCAGAGCGCGCCGCGGAAGAGGCCTGGGGAGTATCGGGGGCGTCCAAGATCGGGGGTGGACAGACCTCCTACCCTGACACGTCGATTAAGGAATTGGCCGTTTTCGTTTCGCGAGAGGGCGTCGCGGCCGTCGTTTTTGCGGGTCCAGGTCCGTCGGTTTCGGTCCCAGGCCGTTCTCACTAAGGGGAGGTCTACTAAAGGGAGGTTTGTCCTTCGCCGACAAGAGATATGTGGATACCATGGCCAGGGCCATGACACATGTTTGTCGATCCCCAGGGAGATGTGGGAAGGCGTGCGGAGGACGAACACCCAGAACATCTGGCAAAATATAGTGCATCCTGGGACGTGTGTCCATTCATTTGTGTGTCGCTGGGTCCCCTGAATGTCGTAGTGGCTCTTTCTTTGGAGACGAAGAAAGCGCGCGCCGGAATCCATTCCAAACGACATTGAGTTTTTTTTTTATGGTCTCAGTGTGCAGGCGCGCCCTGCCGCGCAGTGGTTCCCGGGCACATCTTAGAGCGCGCTGGCGCATAATGCGAGGCATTCACTTTGCACGTTGCGCATGCTATCGCGTACCAACCATGCGTGGCTTGAGCTACTTCGCAGACGCTTTCTGGCGAGGCCCTTCGAGGGCCCTCTCACGGCCCGCCGGGGCCGCCGAATACCGAGAACTCCCGGCAGCCATTGTCGACAGTTGGCAAAAGCAACGCCGCCGAAAGAGTTGTCGAAAGGGTCGCCGGCATTGCCGCCTAAGGGCGGCCGCCCTCGAAAGGGCCGCCGGAATTGCCGCCGAAATTGCCGCCGAAATTGCCGCCGAAATCGCCACAGAAATCGCCGCCGAAATTGCCGCCAAAGTCGCCGCCGAAGTTGCCGCCAAAAATTCCGCAGAACTTCCGGATTGTGCCGCCAAAAAGATGTCGTTATTGATCTTGGTTGTGGCTCGGTGCTTGTGTCTGCGGCGTCACCGTGCTTAATACAACAGTGATTCGCTTTGGACAAGGCAATGACAATCTCGGCGGCTGAATATCGGCGGCGAGTTCGGCGGCTGAATTTCGGCGGCTACTTTGGCGGAGTTCGCAATTATTTCGGCGGTAACTTCGGCGGCAAATTCGGCGGCAAGTTCGGCGCCTAGGTCGGCGGCAATTTCGGCGGCAATTTCGGCGGCAATTTCGGCGGCGATTTCGGCGGCTATTTCGTTGGCGATTTCGGCGGCGATTTCGGTGGCCATTTTCGGCGCCCCTCCTGGCGGCCCTTCTAGGACCATTTCGGCGGTTTTGCTTTTGACAGATGTCGACGAATGCTGCGGGGAGCTCGTAGCACTTGGCTGTGGCAGAAAGTCGATGTGCGGCGACGCGGGCTGACGTGCCCTCAGCGCGATGATGATTGTAACATTTGTTCTCGCTTGGCGACGGCCGCGGTGATGTTTGGTTAAAACTTGATGATCGTCAAGGGGCGTTGCATGCGGGCCTGCGCGCCCAGAACCTTATGCTTCAACAAATAACATTGCCGCGCAACTCCTTCAGATTTGTTGCGGCTATTTGGGGGGTCGTGGTGGCTCCAAAAGATGGTCCTCGGTGACTGAATGGCCCCATCGTCACTTCAATGCGCTCCTTGTACCCCCGTCGTCTGCGCAGCGTGCCCTGGGCCATGAGATTCACCAACCACTCTCTTCGCACCCCGCTTCTTTTGGAACATGAGATCGGTTACCGAAATTATGACCCCATACTTGTAATTCTCGTCGGATCTGCAGCAGAAAATGCGTACATGCATCGTAAGCATTTTTGCTGAGCTCGACGAACAAAACATTTCTGGGGCAAAACCAGTTTTGCAGTCGATCCCCCGCTCGACTCCCTGACGCACCCGACGGTGGCATCTTTCCGTTCCCCCAGATCCCGCCCCGTTGTCGGCGTGTCGCTGCGGTCGTCGTCCTCCCGTAAGCGTGACCGTACAGCAGCGGCTGCTGCCGATTTCATCCGTGCGGCGGAAGCCCTGGGGTTTTCGATGGCTTTGCCATGGCAGGCGCGACGTTCTCGACCAGAAATCAATGAACGCCCCGGGGATTCAGGGTTGGGTTTCTTGTGGAAGGCTTCTTGCGGTCGGGCCCCCGCTGCAGGCGGGGGGCGCCTGCTCCGCAGCGGCTGCTGCGGCCGGCCTCATCCGCGCAGCCCCCGCACCCCGCGATTGCGGGCGCCCGCCGCACCCCGCGGCGAAACAGCAGCCGGGATCCTCTCTCGGCAAGCCCTTGGCATCACTCGGACGTGTGCATTTTTCCTCCGGCGAGGGCCATCGAGGATCATCCTTGACCATTTGGCGAAAAAAAAGCCACGCGCGAGACCAAACAATCACACAACAACTGGACGTCCGAGCGATGGCGAGAGCCGCGTACCAGAGGTCGCGCTTTCCCAGGGCCACCTTGTCGCGCGCAGCCGACCAGGGGGGTGTCGGGGCGCGCTCCCCAGAGATCCAGCGCATTGAAAAAAAAACAAGGCGGACGTTAATTTTTTGGGGGACTTTCAGATTCTAGGGGCCCTCGCCGGGCCCCGGGACCGTCAAGAAACGATTCTGGATGAAAAGCCAGTCCTGGGAAACGGGTCAAGTTTTCCAGGGACCACGTATTGAACAAATCACGGCATCGGATCTCTGGGTCCCTTTCCCGCTGATGTGCGAGGGATTGTGCCGGGGATGTCGGCCTTGTCGCGTTCGGTCGTCTGTCCCTTCCCCCTCATGGGGGTCGGTCAGTTTCGCCCGCGGTCGGTCTTGCCGAGTCGGTTTCGCTCGCGACGGGTTCGCCCGGTCGGTCTCGTCAAGTCGGTTTGGGGTTTCTTTTGGGCGATTTTGCCTAGTCGGTTTCACCGCGGCAGGTTTCATTGTCGTCTTTGATTCGTGGTCATTTTCGTCATTTCGTCGTCGCGAGCGGCTTTGTTGTAGTCGGTTCGCCGTCGTTGTTCGTCGCCGCTCGTCGCTGTGGTCGTCTTTCGTCGTCGCTCGTCGGCGTGTCCGGCCGTCTTCAGGCCCGCCTATCAAGGTCTGCAGGGTCGTCCGCCGGCAAGACACCCTCCGCTCGCGTGAGTGTCCCAAATCGGCCCGCCTATCAAAGTCCCGCCCGCCCGACCCGCCCGTTAGGGCCCGCCCGCCCGACCCGCCCTTTCAGCGCCCGCCCGCCCGACCCGCCCTTCAGGGCCCGCAGCGGGCTGCCTGTTGGCGAGTCCGCCCGTCCGCCGCAATGTTTCGCCCGGCCCACCCTTTAGGTTATGATGTCCCAGCCTACCTTAGCTTTGATCACCAGAAAGCATTTCGAGCACCAGAAAAGCACCGAAGCTCGAAGGTTTGCACGTGTCGGGCCCTCGGAGACACTGTTTCGACACTGTGTCGACACTTTTCCGGGTGCTTGAACTTAGTTCTGGAATGTGGTCTTGAAGTACGATGGGGGCAACATAAGCTTGAGGGTCCGCCCGCCCGATCCGCCCGCTCGTGAGGGTAACGCCCGCCCGACCCGCTGGTCAGGGTCCGGCCCATGCGCCCGTCGGGGTGCGCCCGCCCAGCTTGCCCGTTGAGGTTCCT